ATTGCTGCTTTTAGTTTTTGTGTTCTTGTTCTTGATTGATTTGGTAATAAGCATTTGTTCATTTCCATGTTTTAATGGATGAAAGAATTGAACTAATTAAAGTCAGAGTTAGAAATGCCTATAATAATGATGGAGCTGCAACGATTACTCAATTAATAGATGGACTATTTTTAAGACTATTTAAGTTAAGAAACATGTTATAAGCTCCATCATCTAAAATTAGAATCTGTTCCTTTTCAGTATTCAATTACTAGTAAATTGTAATATTTTGGGGTTTTGAACTGTTGATTGGAAAACAACAGAACAATTCATCAAGAATAAAATCGTTAATTGGAACTTTTTATGTCCGACAAACATCAGATATATTCAGTTTACAGTGATATGAAAACAGAAAAAAAGTCCTCAAATTTGAAACACTGGAAACAGAAAATGTTCAGCATCTCTGCTTATAGAACAATACAAACAATCACTCCTCCGTTTCCTTTAATTGACCGATCGATTAATCGACTACATCCTTTCCTCGCTAATCCGAAATGAGTGCATTTGCCCTGAATGTAGTCGTGGACATCAGGCAGTCGCTCTCAGAGCCGGCAGTGTGGTAAACAACATGCTGTGAGGAATTTACTGACATCTTCTTACACGACTTAATCAGTCACCATTTGGAGTCGCCAACTTCCAAAGCTGCCCGGTCCAGCTCTCAGTGTGTCATTGTACCGTGTGGACTTACTGCGAGTGTCCAGAGACTTGTTATTTAAGTAAGCAGAGGCCTGACATTACTTAGAGTCCTAAATTAGACACCCAGGATTCAAAAAGGAGGCAGGATTTTGAGGTACAGTTTTAAAATGATAGAGTACAATAGGATCTAAAACTGTTACAGTTACTCTTTCAGTACAGAAACATTTGACACACTGACACATAAAAATATCAGAGAAAAAAAGCCTGTTTCCTTCCACTTTTTTATTATTTCCTGTTGCAGCTGTTTGTCAGCAGATGTGGGGGCAGTCATGGTGGTTTTAGTGAGTGTATTGTCCCAACTTCACACAACTTTCAGAGCTTAAATGATGAGTCGATTAATCAAATCAGGTGATCTATTGGATGGATCTTTAATGCCAGAAACTGACTGGTTTCAGCTTTTCAGATGTGAATACTGAAAAATGAAGAAAACATTCCCATCACAAATTAAAAATAGCTTGTTTGAGCAACATATTTCAACCCGCTCTGTTAGCCAACACATGAAAACAGAGAGAATGTTTGGTATTTCTGAATGACTAATGACTCCCTAAGTTCCCCTCCACCCGAAGGGATGTTTGAGCTTCTCTGTGCAGAGTTTGACTCTAGAAGGACGTTTTCACATTCATCTGCTGAAAGTGGAAACTTTCTCTGAGCTTATTTAAAATCTGATTTTTAAGGGGCGGGACCTACGAGCATAACTTATAACAACACAAACAGTTTAGAAGTCAGTCCTGGTCCAACTTCTACAGTGAGATCCACCAGAGCACAGACACTGAGTTTACAGTGAAGGAGGAGACATCTTGTGTCCAACAGGAAAACTTTAGGAACAAACTGCATTTGTATATTCAGATTCTGGAAGTTTTTAATGAGTTAGAAGGAGCAGATGACTTTTTAAGGATTTTAATGTGAAATTATGTTGAAGCATGTTATCTTAGGCTTTATAAAATTGTGATTTCTCACCATTTTATTATATTTTATCCACATTATGATATTAATCTGCCAGTTATTTTCTTAATTAATTGTCAGAAAATGCTGACCAGCAGTCAGAAATATATTCACTTTACAACAATATAAAACTGCTGGTTGGTGGGTTTTTTTGCATTAAAAGTGACTTAGATTTAGTTTTACTTCCAGTAGTTGCTGAATCACTTTACGTCAGCAGACTAATCTTTGGCCTGGTTGGACTAATCTTTGAGAATTTCTTACAAGCTAATTTTGTCAACGTTTCCCAGAGCTTTTTACATAATGTGTTAAGACGTTCCTCATTTAAATCTCTAACAGTATTGTACAGATTGTCCGAGAGTCGTCTGCAGTTATTTTGCTTTTCCTCATTTTATCTGATTCTTTCTTTGTGCTTTAACCAGTGAGAATACTGCTCTTACTTTTTACACTATATCTTCCTATTGTGTGCAAACAAACAAACATTACAGTATAAAACATTCATTGAGTACTGAGCTGTTTCGCAGTGGTTCTGAATCTGCAGTCTTACAATCTGTGTCCTCTACAAGCAGAGGCAGATTTCTCTCAGAGCATTAAGTGAAGTATATTTCAGTGCAACAGAAAGTGAAGGACAGTGTGTGAGTCTTTTGTGTACTGGCTCGCAGCTTCAAATTCTCCTAATTTCATAACGAAAGATCACGTTGTTCAAACTGTAATACAACACACAGAAGCAGTAAAAGCTCTGCTGTGTGTTGTGCTTGTGACCCTCGGTTTGACCTGACTAAGAGACGCTGTGGGACAGGGCGATAAACACGGAGGATGAGGCTGTGAAATCCGAGCCAAATCGATATCCGAGGCACATCTTCTCTGGTGGAAAACATCGGGGAAAGAAGCCTACCCATGAACTGCATCTCCCACTCCCTCACGCTCTCCATCTGTACAGCGTTGAGGTCTGACAAGTCGTCGTACTCGTCCCTCAGGGCGTCTTTCTCCAGGCAGAAGGTGGCCAGGCCTCTCGAAGCATCCCGACCCGCGAAAATGCCGTAAGGACCATCTGAGGAAGGAATAAAACATAAAGGTCAGGACGAATAAGAGTTTAAGCAGAGCAGTTTCTTACTTATTCACCCACAGGTTGAAACACTCTGGCGTTACTGCTCTGTAAATATACTTCTGTGTGAGCTGATCCAAGCTTGCTACTGACTTTTGAGGGATGAACCAGTCAGGAGCCAGTGGACAGTCAGTCGTCCAGTTGTCGGAAGCTTTCAAACTGATTTAATGAGAATGAAAGTGGTAAAAAATAAACAGTTCCAGCCAAACAACAAGTTAACCCTCTGTGACTAACTCTACGTCATGTGACTGCTGCCGCCGCCGCTTCACGTTAAAGGCCTTCCACAACTGCTAATAAGCAAAGCACTTGAATGCAGCACGGATACGGCGCGTTCACAGCGAGCCTTCTGGCGGTCCGCAAAGTCAGACATGCTTTCCTTTTTCTGAAAAACAGTGACTAAGCAGAAATAAGGCGTTATTAGAGGCGGCAGACGTATTAATATTGGAATATTGTGATGTGAAATGTGATATTGTCTGGGATTCTGGTAACCTCAATGCCTTAAATAATGCATTAGAGCTGAATTAAAGCTGCGGTAAACAGTCCATCGGGCTATTAAATCTGCAACTATTCGCATGATTGAATATTACTTTCAAACATTCGCTGGGTCCAGCTGCTCAGATGTGATGATTCATTGTTTGTGTCTCGTTTTGTTTCCTTTTTTTCAGTCCAGTCTTGTGTTGATACTCTGTACAATCAACACCTTTTTCACCTTTTGCACACAAAACAACAAATCACTGATCAGTAATAAAGTAGTACTTTGAGTTTAATAATAACATTTCTGGACAAAAAAAGTAACAATAAATGCTTCTACCTGCTATGTAATGACGTCCACATTACTACTGATTGTTTCTTAACACACCCCGACCCAAACATAATTTAATTTTATAATAAACAAGCTAATATCAGCTGATTTAGACTGATTCAGTCTGTTTTTATGAATAAAATGTCGTCTTTAGACATTATGCTTCAGCTAAAATATCATATTAATCATAATTAATCAATCAGAACAGCAATCAATAACCCGGAGTTGATCTGTATGAGGGGAGAGAATTACCAATATTCACTCAGATATACTGTGATATTTGTTTCTGTCCAACATTGCCCGCCCCTTGTTGTTGTCCTATTGTGTAACTTCTACAAATGACAATCTGAATAAATATTTAACTTTAAATTTCTCCACGACTTCCAGTGTTGTAACAGTAGTGTTATTGTGTTGAAATGTTGTTTATCCTCTTGAACTCACAGTCATCTACTCTGTGTAACCACCTCAGCTGGTATGTGAACAGAAAATGATTTTCTTTTTATGCATTTGTTGGAAAAACCAAAAGAAGTTCCAGTTATTTGATTAATATCAGACTTTAAAATCCCATCAAAGGCGCTGGTGACATTCACTCTCTGTAAGTGTTGGTGTAAAACCCCTCGGGCCTCCCCTGAAGGTTCTCTCTGTGTTTTAAGTTCTTCGTCGTCTTCCAGAAGAACATCATCTGACCAGCATGTGAAAACTCTGCAGGCCTTCGAGTTTCCGCCTTTTAACTGTGCAACAGAAAGAAACAGCTCTCCAGTCCGGTGTTCAGACTGCCGGCCATGAAGCAAAGAAGCCTTATCACCTCAAAGATTAGATGTGCTCCTACATTGCATAACTCTGAGAACAACCTTTTCTTTTTTTTTTACAGATAATTTACAGCGAATCCAACGTCTCAGCAAAAACAACACGCTGCTTTTATGTTTCCGTCTATTATTAGAATCACATTGTTCTTTTTAATGTCGTGAATCATGACTCACGACAAAAGAAGAAAACACTGAGCTAAGATTTGTGTTTGAGAAACTTTTGAGTGTGTCAGCTGGAAACGAGTCTCCTCTAACAGCAGCACAGCTACGTTTATTTTCACTTTCTTATTAATATTTGTGTCCAAAATACTGGCAAAAGAGTTCCAGCTGCTTATCCTGTCAACAACAGCGAATAACCAAAAACTATTTAACTTACAAGGAGATGAAACAGAGCAAACTCCTACTTTCCAGGAGCTGAAACCCCCAAAAAGTTTGATATTTTTTGATCACAACAGAATTTAATCGATTAACCAAACAAGCCATAAATTACTTTCCTGTGCACTGACATATGGATCGATCTGAGCAAGTCCACAGTGACGAACACCGATTACACAATTAATAAGATACGGCCCAGCCAACTGCAGCGCGGCTCTATAAAGTGCCTGTACACAATCTGGTGAGGTGGACAGAAGCAGCGACTTGGCTCGGTCCTGTCGGTGTGGAATAGCAGAGGAGACACCTGAGACTGCTGGGAAAATGTGTTTGAATAATTATAGTTTATTACAAGACTTGATGAGTGAAGTGAGCCAGGTCAGAGATAATGCTGAGCAACAGGGCCAGCCTCTGCTTTTCACAAATAAAAACCACCAGGGCTGCACAATTCATCGAGAGGTTATCGAAACCGCGATGCAAGACGCAAAATCACTGCAAATTCTTAATAGAAAAGGTAAAATGTGTAACAAACAGGTGTATAATGATGCTCTGGTCTATAAATCATGTTCTCCAGATGTAAAAAGATTCACATTATCATGATTTTAATAGTTTGTGATGAGAAAATCAAATGTGTGACGCAAAAATCATCATTTCCACACTAATGTTGAATCATACAGCAATACCTGACAATAAACACGTGAAGCAATGCTTATAGGGGCTGAATAATGCTTCATAAAAGTAAAGAAATGTAAAATATCTCCTCCCTGAGCTGCACTCAACTTTGCACAGCCTGCCAGGTGCCTAAAAACACACCTTTCCTGCACCAAACTAGCCTCCACATCTGCACATAAAGCAATATTAAGATCCTTTTAGGTGAAAACATTGGTGCAAA